CTGTGGCTCTCACCCCGCTGCCCTGCGACGTCTGCTGCCGCCGCTCGAGCGCCCCTCCTACCCCATCGCCCCGCGTCCATCCTCCAACACCCGTGTCCAGACCCTCCGCGGGACACTGTCAGTCAACACGGATCACTGCTCCGCTCGCTGCTCTTTCATCCAACGACCTGCTCCCTGCGCGGGTCCCGGCTGCGCGCGCCCTATTTGTCAGGAAAAGGCGCCGGGACCATTTCCTCCGCAGGGTGGGCACTTGGGGACTCTCCGCGCCTCCCGGGTCCTTCGCTTCCACCACACCCGGGGTGAAGGCGCGGCTGTGGGTGGCTCTGGTGGCCGCCCAGGCGCGGCTGGCACAGCTCCACTCATTAGCAAAGGCCCTCGAGTTTGTCGGACTCGGATGCCCAGAGGGTTCGTGCACAATTCGAGGGCCCTCCCAGCCTTCTGCTCCTCGAGCCTCCCGCCCCACCGCGGGTCCTGGAAGCCGCACACTCCTGTGCTGGGATGTCATCACTGACGGACGGGCACTGGCATGCCACCGATACTGAAATATTGTTGCACTTTGCCTCCTAAAAAAAAGTCCTTAAAGAGTGCTGGGCGAGTGCGCAGATAGAGGTAACAGCGTGGGTCTAGAGCTGCCGCGGTGGCGTGGGGACAGCTGGCCCTGCAGACCCCGTGTGTGGGTCTGGCTGAGTCTGCCATGCCCAGTCCCTGTGGGGCGGGTCAGGATCAGGCTCCGGAGCCGATGGGGCTGGCGGTGCCCGCTGACCCTCTCCTGAGTCTCCCTTCACGACGGAGGGGCTCGGAGCAGAGCCAGGGACCCACCAGTGACGGCACTGAGCACGTGCCTGCGGAAGCCTGCTTGCCTGGGTTGCATCGGGCGGCTCCACTTCTGTCCATGGACTTGGACACAAGCTCTCCTTGCCTCAGTTTCCTTTTCTGGTGCATGGGGTTAATACTCGTTTCTACTAACGGATGCTGGGAGGTACATGAGTTCATGCCCATGACGCGCTCAGCACCCTGCCTGGCCCACATGCAGCGCCATCTCAGCGTCAACTGTTATCCACGCTGTTGCTGAGCCTCGAAGTGCCAGGTGTGCTGCAAATAGGGCTCTGCTCCCAGCACAGGTGCGGCAGTGTGACCCCCAGTATGACGCCCTCTGACCCGAGAAAACGGCCTCACGCCCCGCCACGGGGGCCCAGCATGCGCCCTGACCTGGAGTCCAACAGGACGATGCCCAACCACAGGGGCCACACCCTCCACCTCCCGGCCCCTGTCTTCTTTGGTGCTTCTTTCCTGGGGCTTTTGAAAGGCTGTTCCCACGCCGGCCGGCACCTGACCTAGAGTCCAACAGGACGATGCCCAACCACAGGGGCCACACCCCCCACCTCCAGGCCCCTGTCTTTGGTGCTTCTTCCCTGGGGCTTTTGAAAGGCTGTTCCCACGCCGGCCGGCAGGTGGCAGCGTCGTCCCGCGGACGGAGCACCGGCCAGTGCTGGGCGAACATCAGTGCGGGATGAGGTCTCAGCGGCAGGTGTGCGCCTTCTCTCTCCTTCCAGGTGTTCGCATTTCTCAGGGTCGGTGGGTCCCGCCTCTGACATCTGTCTCTGATGGAAGCGGGTCGTGGGCGCGGGGGGGGGGCGCGCACAGGAGCCCCAGGTGAGACCTCAGAGCGGGCGCTCG